GACCACCTTAAAGGGTATAGTTTTAAATTATTCAGAAATGTTACCTATTACAGCAATACGTTTTGCATTCCACTTGGTGGCTTGCCTCAAATAAGGTTGAAACTGAGTAATTGAAACAACATGTTTCTCAACATCATGTTCAATTGCATAGTACCGAAACATCTTGAAAAGAAGGTTTCCCACACTATCTTTATTCCTTCCAAACCAGCGACCTTGCAGCTCCTTAGGATCTAGATAGAAAACAGAAAATTGCACATTAACAGACAGGTTCTTCTATTTCTGATAAGATAGACTTACTGACAAATGACAAAAATAATGGTGTAACATACCTAGATAAACTTCTGGAGCTCCATCTGGATTATCAAGCATGTCATGAAGCACAGGCAAAACTTGCCTCTGTTGCAGAAAATGAATTACCATAATTGGAAATGCATGCCCTTGCCATGAGCCATTTTCTCCTTGATCAACACCACAAATCTAGACACAAAAATATAGGTTCAAATAATCTTGAAAATGTATTATAAGAGAATAATATAGTTACAACAGTGATGGAACTTACCTGGCCCCAATAGCGGAAAAAGATGCAAAGAGGTTGCACTCTTTTGTCAATACTGATATAATCACGAATAAGTTTTGCTGTATTGAAAGCTCCATTATTATTCAGACTGAGTTGAACAATCATTCCCTCATGATATATATTGGCATGAGCAAAATTAGTTGCAACAACTCTATCAACTTTGCTGAAAATGTATGAACAATTTTCAAAAAGAACAAAAAGATAAATCTCAAATTAGAAAATTCTTTGAAAAATTAAAAATTACCTGAAAATTTGTTCTACAGCAGCAATAAAGTTCAAGAAAGTACTAGCTGCTTCTTCTTTGTTAGTTACAAGAAGATCCATATTCAATAGCTTGTTGTCAGAAAGGGCTATTCCATTCACATGAGAGCCAAACCACCGAACTGAACATTCTACAAGAAAAGAAATAAAATAAAGAAAGTAAATGATAAAATAACCTACCAAGAAGACAAGGTGGTGGGGTATAATTTACTGTTACAGAAAAACAGATCATCAATTTTCTTACCTTTAAATTTTGTTTTGGCCAAGGTATCTAAAGTTTGCCAAATAGAGTGAGCGATTTTCAGGTTTTCCTGAGGTGTCTTGTATTTTTCTACAGTTGTCATTACCAAATCATCAAGTAGACTAATATGTCTAAGAGACAAATCTGGCAGAAGATCAATTGTGCGGTGTCGCATTTCACACTAACAATAAAATAAAATGGAAAATTCAGGAGTAACAAAATGGGTAAAAACATTAATACACAACAGCTGAAAAGTTTCTTTACCTTCCACCGAATTACATGACCCTCTTTTGCTTTCTCAAAATGTTTGTCCATGTCTGAGAACTCTCTATCACAGGGTATGCAAAAGAAAAGATTCAAATCCTGTACAGAAAAGTAAAAGCTCAGTAGGTTAGGGAATTTTACAGAAATACAGATGGTATATAACTAATTGTAGTAAAATGTATTAAATAATTTAAGAGGTACAGACCTTCACAGCAGATATTTTTTTCTTCGGCTTAATTAAGTTTATAGCAGCTCGCAGGAGCATGAAAGGCTGTTTTTTGAAAATTTCCAATGATTCTGATTCTTTTTCAGTATCTTGAAGCAGACATGCTGGATCTTTGGAACCTTTAGGAGGAATCTCTTTAGAAAAATTTTGTCGAGTTGGTTCTTGTTGCTTCGGCTGTCCTTGTGCAACTTGAGAAACAACCTTAGACGAGTCAATTTGATTATGACCGTGATGTGAAATCTTGAGATTTTGTGAGCTCTTGGCCACATTTGGTTGATCTGACAGGACCTTTGATGATGTGCTTCCTGCTGATGCCTTCACAGTTTGAGTGATATTCTGGGCAACTGTTGTATGCTGCTCTTTCTTATTTAAGGGAACATTTTCACCTTTATCAGTTGTTAGTTTTAGTGGACTGTCGGTAGGAGAAGGTTTGTTAGACTTTTTCCCCCTGCTCTTTTTCTTCTTTTTCTGTTTGTCATGATCACTGGAAACAGTCGATCCACTTTCTGTCTCTCTGTCTGGAGCCTTATCTGATTGCTTAGGAATCGAGCCTGTAAAACACAAAACCATAATAAGAACAAGTATACAAAATATGTCACTTAATACATTAGAAACAAAGAGCCAGAGGAAAAAGTATGGCAATGTGATGAGAGTAATTGTACTCACGTGAGTTATTTCCAGATGCTTCTCCCTTCGAAGTCAAAGATACACCATTCATTTGAAGTAAAAGTTTCTGAAAGTTCATTCGATCTAGCTCTGTGGCCGGTGGACTCGATGGAGTTGCTACAGCACCTACTTCAACATCTGCTACTGTCCGAACACTGAGTGACGACTTTATTTCCTCTGCAGATTCCATAATTAAAATGAATCTTGCGTTTATGTATAAAAACTATACCCTGTGAAAACATAGTTTAGTGAAAGAAATGCTTAGCAAAGTAAACTCTCGTCTACTTCAGTCAAATGTTGATGATATACAGTTAGGTTATAATGTCACATAACCAACAGGTTCGGATTAAAAGTACGCTAAAGCACCTGAGTGAAACAAGCGCTCAGAAGAGAGAATGAACTCAATTACTAATCGGTTAGGGTCCGAGATAACGAAGTGAAGGAAGAGGGGAATACTTCTACGTGATACGTGATAACCGGCTGTTATGCCCGTAATCTAAATCACCAGTCAACAATGGCGTGAGAATGAAATACAACCGAAACCAGTTGTTCTTTGGACTTTTGGTTTACCGATTAGACTTAACATTTCTATTGATGCCATCACGGCTAAAATCATTTTACGGACCTTCAAATACAATGCACTTTGACACTCTTTCTTAGGCACGTACCGTGAAGGCGGGTAGTGCGAAGTCAGGCTTCACGTCAGAGTCAGGATTGGTTTAAAAGTATCCTAGATGGAAAGCAGTGTATTTACCTATCAATAGCACTACCCAAATTTCATTTTCTCTCTAATTAAGACGTCAAAAGAATTAGTTCGGGCACGATAGTTGTCTTCAACATCAGACATCAGCAACATTGCAACACACTCTAGTCAACATTGCAACAAACCAAAATCAGAATGTATTTCGAAGTTCAATAAGTATGTTTAACGTAGTTTGTCCATTTTTTAGCTTTAATTAAGTATTTTGTATTTAATTTAATTATAACATCTAACGTATTTCATTTTTTCTACAAAATAAAATGTTCTGAATTGGTCGTTGCTAGTTACTAGGGATGGCTAACATGTGTGCCAAACCACGGGAGTACCAGCTGGTCATTTTTCAGGGAGTAGGAATATATTGACAACTCTAAATTTCTTCTCATGAAAATACTATCATAACTTATAAATTTTATAGTTTTAGTTAAACTTAAGCTAACAAATTAATGAACAATTAAAATTTCAAACGAAAGAAAGATGGTATAATTTTCCAAAGTTGTTCACCCTGTGGGAAGTTGGGGGGAAGGGAGGGGGAGGGGAATGTTACGTACTAACCTAACCTTGACAGTTCGATTAGGAAGAACGAACAACCAAACCTTCGAATATCTAAGCAATTAATTTTTGTCCCATCATGCCGGGCAAAATTCAACCTCGTGATACTATTGAAATCGTCCAGAAATTGAGGAACTTCCTGCTAGGGAGCGTGAGTATTTATACCACTCACTTATCCTTTTCCTATTTTAGTGCCAGTACTCTTTTCTTGTTATTTGTTTACCTTCTCACATTTGTCTTGTTTTTGCTATTTACACCTTGTATTTCTAATCTCTTGTGAATCATCATTATTGACTGATTGTTAGTCTTCTCTTCCACATGTGTAATAACTTATTTTCCGTAACAGAGAGGCGGACAGAACTACCTTCGATTTGAGGGTCATGGTATTGCTGCACGCACTCAACCTCCTCCAAATCTGCCTGATGGCCCCCACGCTAAGCTCTCTGCCAACTACTACTATACAAGAGACGCCCGCCGTGAGTTAAACCCACCTGTCCTTCTAGCCAGCGACCAGAAACTTTTACCTGCTCCTGCGTAAGTATACCAAACTGAAATTGCCATGACTAAGGGTGACAGAGTCTGACGATTCCATCATTTATTTCCCAGCTCAGAACAGCCAGCTCGTAAACATCGCACTCCAGGCCCAAACTTTGCATGGGACGCTCGTCTATAAACACCTCTTCTTGTACTGTATATTTGTGTAGAAAGTGTAAAAATGCTTAACTTCAGATAATATATATTTAATTTTATCTCAATTGAAAATAGTCTTAAGTATTTTTTCTCCTGTTTCCTTAACGTATTCTGTGTGACAGGTCCACCATTTGGATCCCCCCCCCCCTTCTGCACGAAAAGTGTTAAATGGTATACACCATCTCATGGGACCAAGGTGAAAAAATTGGAACTAATTGCTGTCTCTCAAAATGGAGTGAGGTAGTGATATGACTCATAAACATGGAAGTATAAGAAAGAAAAATTGACAAAGTGTGTATTGTAAAGATTTATTTATAAACTTTAATACTACCTATTGTATCACACATGCAAGAAGGCCACTGAAACATACAGCAAATTGGATTTGCAAATATTGTGTCTCGACAATACCGCATAATCCTCTGCTCATTGTCAAGGTGGTCATTCCTAAAATATCAACTATTTGTTACAAAAGTTCATACCTAAAAAAACAATATAAAATAATAATTTTTAAGGAATGCTGTACAAAAACAAGACTTTTTAAAAAAAAGCAGGGGTATCTTTGGTGTTCAAATACAAAGTTAAAAGAACTTTGACATTTTGATTTTAAAGCCATGGGTAGAGTTATCCACAGTTGTACCTTAAAAGATTTCAGAATATTGTTTAAAAAAAAAATTAAAATGCAAAGCTCAACAAAGCTCGTTTTTAGGGAAACAGTAAGAATATAAATCTCTGAAGTAATGTCTGTTAAGCATAGTTATTATTGTAATGAAAAAAAAAGTGGGAGTGTTTCAGAGAGAATGTAAATCTCCAAATACAATTGATATGGATTCTTAGTGTTTCTATAGAGGGCACCATAACAATGAATTAGGGCGATACATTTTTTTAAATGACAGTAATTGTTACAAAAATTTACAAAAAATTTAACCAAGTAAAATTTTTGAAATTTTCTTTCACATTGCAAGTTTGGTCCTTATCAAAAAAGACTCTTTTTCTATTAGTCATACTATTATTGCATTTGCCAATGTAAACACAGTGACAAACATTCTTTGTCACTTTTGTCCTGTGTTTTAAATACACAGTAACATGCATGCATATAGGCATAGTCGCCGCCAAGTTGTTGTTTATTAATTGCTTCAATCTGCAAGTTCACTGACACTCTCTGGAAAATGCTCATACATTCCCCTAAATCTTCAATTTTCTTTAGAATGTCTACGATGAGAGCTTCCGGTCCCCCTCATGAGCACACGGCTGGCGCGGCCAGGGCGCCACCCAGGCCGGGCAGGGGCTTTGATGGCATGGCGCAGGGCTCTCGCCGTCGCCTGTTCAGTCTGCGGCCGATGTGAAGTAAGACGGGGCCGGAGCGGATCTCTTTGAAGACGGCAATGGCTTCCAGGTGACTGAAGCCGTGGAGGGCCTTGCCGTTCACCGCCAGAATTTCATCCCCTGAAACAACGACAACAAAGTTAAGACAAAGCACACCCACAAAAATAAATAAATTTAAAAACAGTCTCCCTTAAAAAAGGCCCCGCTGGACTAAGGTTGTTTTTTGGCCATTTAACGATTAAGACGTCTAATATAGGTACGCAATTTGAAGTCGAATTCCGTAACTAGGCAAAGGTTGAGACACGACCTCCCCCAAAGTGAAATCCTGGGTGCGCCACTGGGCGCGCACTGCCGACGGGGTGGTGTCGTCCGCCCGCCTGCCCCGCCACCTGGCTGGCGTAGCGTTTGGTGTCGGGTGTCTCACGGGCCGGAGACAGCCCGCGAGGGCCCGGAAGTGGGCATAACTTAACGTGCCTTGCACGTGCTCTGCCAGGCTCTGCTGGGCCGTACCGGCTGGGAGCCTGCTGACTGCCAGACGCGGCCCGTACCGGTCCTGTCGGCGGCCAGGCCACACGCCCCCTCCACGGCGACACCAGGGCGACACCCACTGGGGCGGATAGACGTGTCGGGTACGAAACAATGGCATATCGATAGCTGTCACACATGTGCTATATGTGGCACTGCGTGATGCTCGGCGACGCCCAGCGGATTCCGATCATATAGATAACAAATGAAACTGTGTATTGTTTTACTTTCTGATTCTTTAAGCGTCCTTGTGGGCGAGAGGGTACCACTCTCTGGCGTCCCGTGGGTACCTCCAGAGCCTGCGCCGCGCTGCCCCGCGCCGCTCCCACCACCAGGACGGCCTGGCGGGCCGCGCGGCGCGGAGCGCGGAGTGGAGGAAGAGGCCAGTCACCTCTCGTCTGCGCTCAGCTCGACTCGGCGACAATCACACATGACATGCACGCACGTCGCGTACGACAGCGCGTCCCTCTCATGGCGAAGCACGTCGCACGGCGTCCTGTCTCGTCAGCTGGACTTCCACCCCCCCCCCTCTCTCTCTCTCTCCCTCTCTCTCTCTTTTCCTCCATCCCTCTCCATCTCGTGCATGGAGACCAAGTGAGGCTCAAAATACCCACATCCACACTACTGCCGCGTTTGCAGCCTAGCAGCCCGGGTGGTAGGTGAAGTGGAGAGATAATGGACCAGGCCTTCCCTCTGGGCAGCTAGCAGTGCGTTGTCAACGACCCCAGTACATAAAGCGGCCAAGTTCTCTACGCACTGTCAGCGGGCCGGGGTTCCCCTCGCCGCTGATCCGCGACCCATAGCCCTAAAAATCTGTAAGACAGAGGAAAGCATCGTTACCTTCTTTGAGTCGCCCTGACTCGGCCGCCTGGCCGTTGGGGAATACGGTCTTGACGAAGATGCCCATGTTGCCTCGGGGCGAGTCCCTGCCACCCACGATGCTGAAGCCCAGCCCCTTGTGGCCGGGACCCTTGTTGAAGGTGGCCGACAGGATGGTGAAGGCGTTGGCCGCCGAGTTGCGCGGCAGCGTGCAGAACTTGGACTCCTCCACGTCGTCCACCTCGTCCTCGTCCTCGGCCGCGTTCCGGTGCTGGCGATGGCTCTCGGACGGCGACTTGCTGCTCTTGCCCTCCGTCGAGGGCGCGGGCGACGGCGTCGCGGCCATCAAAATCACCCCCGACGACTTCCGCCGGTCGCTCGCGCTGCTCGCGCTGCTGACGCCGCTGGTGTTGGCCGCGCTGTCGCCGTGGACGTTGTTGTTGTTGGCCTCATCCTCGCCCGCCACGTCCTGGTGCAGGCGGTCTCTCAGCCGGGCCTGCAGCAGAGAAGTGGAATCAGACACGAGCAAGCGAGACAAGGAGAACACCCAGGGGCCTAGAAGGTGTAAGGTGTCCGAACCCCCGACCAACAGCTCCGCGGGTGCACCTCGAGGTGCACCTGTCCGTGGGAGAGCCGGGCCGGACGGGCTGGACGAGACGCAATCCCCGGATGGCTAAGTGAGCCGCCCCGCGCCGGCCCCGCCCCGCAGCGCCCGGCCCACGCGTCCTCGCGGGCTGCGTTCGAATCGCACCGCTCTCACGTCTGCTCCCCCTGCAGCGCGTCGCGACGTCGCGGACGCACGGATAGCGACGCACTTGCCCGCCGTCACGGGGCCAGGGCCACCGTGCAGCCTCCTCCGGGCGGGGCGGGCGATGCACACGCACGGGCCCGCACGGGCGCACCCACATCGCCGCCCGGAGCCCATAGCTCGTCACCTCCCCGATTATTGCCGAAATAATTGCATCCCGCAGAGCTCTACCGCGCGGACGAGGTGTTTATCTTCGCGGGCTGCGCGCGAGGTGGGCCGCCACACCCCGCCACGGCCAATAGTCGTACAAAGTGTTGAGCAATTAACACCTTGTGTTGACTGTGTGCTGGGCGTGTTGGTGTTGGTGGTGGTGGGGCTCCTGAACAATGTGCGATGCGAGCGCCGCAGACAAGTGCCGCGAGATGAGTCACGGTGGCCGAGGCGGCGCGGCACGGCCACCGCGGCGCTCACAATGCCACCGCGAGGCGTGGCCACCCGGCACAGCCCGGCACCCGGGGGACCAATGGGGACCAAACCGCTCGAGACGCGTTTGTTGTGCGGATGGGATGGACGTTGTGAAATTTTCTCGTGCGATTTTAAAAAGAACAGCAATGGGGCGGAGCGCCACTATTGAGGTCGTATGAACGCATGATGGGATCAAGGGGATAGGCACGTGAGGGGAGGGGAAAGGGGGCACTCTCCTCTCCCTTGCCTCCGACTCCCCTCCCTTCCCCCTCTTTGAATGTTAACTGGATCTCCCACCCGCTCGGCGACATGTGCATATGGGCTGCGGCCAATGTGATTTGATCAACGAGCTGAAGTCAGCGGGAATATTATTGGATGCGAGTTACTGCGTTGCACGTAATGAAACAAGCCCACAGCCCGCCCTTGCATGGCGGCGCGACGCGGAGCGGCGAGGCGGGCCTATGTTACGAAAGCGTGCACGCGACCAGACTGGGTCGCTCGTCTCGTCCGTCAGCATAATTTCGCATGGCTTCCCCCATACACGCCGTTTTACTTGTTCCCGCACGGCCGCCGGGGGACCAAAACTTTCGCTAATGTATTCCCAATCAGCCTGTAGCTCACCTGGGCCTTGGTGGGCGCGAGCAGGTCGCAGCTGCCGTGGTGCGCCTGGCGGCCGGTGAGCCTGGTGGCCGAGCGCGAGCGCGCCGTCAGGCTGCCGCCGAACAGGCTCCGTTGCAGCTGCTTCACGAGGCGACGCCCCCGCTCGCGACTCTGGCTGCTCCGGTCCCGCTCCTCGTCCTTGCTGTCCTTCTTCTTGTCCTCCTTGTCCAGCTTGGCCTCCTGCTTGTCCTTCTTGCTGCTGCTGCTGCCACCGTCCTCCTTCGGGCTGCTGCGCAGATGCACGGCGGAGGAGAACACCTTGGAGAGGCGCACGGACTTCTTCTTCACCTCCGGGGTGTGTGACTTGGCTCGCAGGACCGCTGGTGGCACCTGCTCCGGGGAAGGTGTGGGGGCGGGCGGCAGCGGCGGCGTGGCGTGGAGGTCCCGGTCGACGGGGGCCCGGTCGACGGGGGCCCGGTCGACGGGGGCCGGGGAGGCGGTGGCCGCCCTCCGGGTGCGGGGCAGGGGGACGGGCGCGCCCTGCAGGGAGGTGGGCCCGGGGCCGGAGGGCGAGGTGGAGGGAACGGGGGAT